CCTCAATTTCCAATTTTTGGTCACCACAAAAACAGCTGCTATAAATATTTTTGTACATGTGGGTCCTTTACCTTTTTTTTTTTTTAATAATCTATTAGGGATATAGACCTAGTAGCGGTATTGCTGCATCAAAAGCTATAGCTTTATAGCCCTTTGGACATAGTTCCAAATTGTTCTCCAGAATGGTTGGATCAGTTCACAACTCCACCTACAATGCATTAGTATTCTAATTTTCCCACATATTCTCCAACATTTATCATTTTCCTTTTCTGTCATATTAGCCAATCTGATAGGTGTGATGTGGTACCTCAGAGTGGTTTTAATTTGCATTTCTCTAATCAATAGTTATTTACCGCATTTTTTCATATGATCAGAGAGAGCTTTAATTTCGTCATTTAAAAACTGCCTGTTCATATCCTTTGACCATTTATCAATTGGGGAATGACTTGCCTTCTTATAAATTTGGTTCGGTTTTCCATATATCTGAGAAAGGAGGCCTTTATGAGAAATTCCAGCTGTAAAAATTGTTCCCCAGCTTTCTGCTTTCCTTCTAATCTTGGTTTCACTGGTTTTGTTTGTACAAAAACTTTTCAATTTAATATAATCAAAATTATCCATTTTGCATTTCCATAATATTCTCTATCTCTTGTTTGGCCATAAATTCTTCCTTCTCCATAGATCTGACAGGTAAACTGTTCCTTGTTTTCCTAATTTACTTATGGTATCACCCTTTATATCTAAATCACCTGCCCATTTTGACCTTATCTTGATGTAAGGTATGGCCAACCTATTCTTCTTCCAAGCTACCCATTACTGCTGAGAGCATGACCGTTCATTCATTTCTCCCATTCACTTGGGCTCCCAAAATCACTGTAATTTTTTTCTCTTTCCTCTCATTCATTCTGCATGATATGGCATAAATGCTCCCCCTTATCAGAGAGCAAGCACCCTACTTTAGGCCCTGTCCAATGGGCTCAATAGCCCAATGAGTCATCGGGCCTCAAGTCTCTCCCCTTTCCAATCTATTTTTCATCAGAGTTGTCAAAGGCATATACTTAAGGTCAGACTGGCTTCTTCCATAATCCAATTACTCAAGGAATTTAGTCACTTCCTTTTACCTTTAGGGCCACAAAAATTTTCTCCTTTGGGCATTAAAAACTCTTTACAACCTGATCCTATTTTATTTTTTTCCAGTTTATCTACAAATTACTCCCCTCTTTGACTTACATTGTTTAACCATCCTGACTTACGTGCTGGTCTTCACCCATGATACCATCTCCTTCCTCTATGACTTTGCCCTGGCCATTTCCCTTCTAAGAAGCACTCTCCTTCCTCCTATCTGTCTCTTGGAATTAAGACTGGACTCAAGCATCTCCTTCTGCATAAGCCGTTTCTTAGTTCCCAAGCTCTCCTCTGTCCTTGCCCCTACTGTTAGTATATTCTCCACAAAATTTACCTGCTTTCTACTTTCTAAGACTCTGGTCTATATATGTAATGTATATATGTTGGTGAGTATGTATAATGCATATTTTATGTGTAGAATTCTATATACAATGTATTTATGTGTATATAAATAATATACTCTAACAATATATGACAGTGCATAGAGATTATAAATACATGTATATCTGTCTGAATGTATGAACAAATATGTACACATGCACATCAATACACATTGGACATATTATCTCCCTTAATAGAAGGCAAGGACTGTTTTATATTTTCTTTTTGTAGTTCCTGACACACAGTAAGCACTTAATAAATGGTTGATATTTTGCTTGACTGCTTAGTCCCAGTTAGTGCTATTCAATTTAGATCACTAAGTATATATTAAGATACTTTTGGGTGCTAAATAAAATGCCAGATGATGGAAGTACAAAGACAAACTCAATGTGGGTGCCTACCGTAAGAAACTAGATACTTACTGGAACTAAATAACACAGACGCAGATAAGTCAATACAAAATAACAATAATAATAATAATAATTTGGGGCATGTAGAACATTAACACCTGAGGCATCGGGAAAGGTTTCTTGTTTTGGCTTTCACTTGAGTTCAGGCTTGAAAGAAGTTGGAGATTCCAAGAGGAGAAGGAAATAAGGGAAAAGAATCAGGATTTGGTAGACAGCCTTTGCAAAAGGATGTTATACCTTTTGCTGCATAAATTAGGTGCTTAATAGAATCATAGAATCTCAGAGTTTAGAAAAGCTCTCAAAGGTAATCTAGTTTAATCCATACTTAATTAGGAATCCCTTCTAGAATCTCTCCAATTAGTGATTATCTGGACTAGGCCTGAAGAGATCCTCTGTTGGGAAGTCCAATATATTTTAAGATAGCCTGCTTTACTTTTTTACAACAATAATTTTCAGGAATATCTCCCTAATGTTGAGCTAAAAATTGTCCTTCTGTGTTTTTGGCACAATGGTCATTGACATCAAGCAAAACCAGTATAAAGACATCCATGTGACAGTCCTTCAAATACTTGGGGTGGCTAAGATGTGCCCCTTATATCTTCCCTTCTCCTGTCCAAATTCTCTTCACTGGTCCATTATCTGTTTCTTACATTGTTACATGTTTTCAGTCGCTCTACTACCCTGGTAACCATTCTGTGATATGTTGTAATTTGTCAATAACTTGAATTGAATTAATTTTCAAAAGAACAAGTACTGACCAACATTGGAAAGGGCTGCCTGAGGAAATATTTGAGTGCTCAATCACTGGAGGACTCCAAGTGGAGACTGAATAACCATTTGCCAAAAATGTTACAGATTGTTTTAGGTGAGGTCCATTTTGAATTCACTAATCTTTCAGGTTCCTTTGAACTCTATGTTTCTGCAAAAAGTTTCATAACATGCCTTTAAATACATTATGAATGGGCAGTTAGGTGGCACAGTGAATAAAGTGCTGGGCCTGGAGTCAGGAAGATCTGAATTCAAATCTGGACTCAGACATTTATTAGCTGTGCCACCCCAGGCAAGTCACTCTACCCTGTTTGCCTCAGTTTCTTCATCTGTAAAATGAGCTGGAGAAGGAAATGGCAAACCACTCCAGTATCTTTGCCAAGAAAACCCCAAAAGGGGTCACAAAGAGTCAGGCTTGACTGAAAATGACTAAACAACAACAACTTTATTAACATCCTCTCATTCAATAAGCATTTATTTGGTGCCTTTGATGAGTCAGGCAGCATAGTAGATGTTAGGGACAAAATTATGAAAATGAACCAATCCCTGCCTTTAAGGACTTCACATTCTGTCAGTGCAAACCTTTACATGTACTCTTATATTAGATATGTACTCTTACATTAGAAATTTCACGAACATTCTTTGGAAAATCTCTGTACTCTATAGAGACCCTCTGCAAAAGTCACTATAAGTTCTTCCCAACTCTTTGAATAAATGTGCAGTTCAGAAAGGCTCACCATCTACCACTAGCAGGAAATAGGCTATTTGGATGAAGATTGCATCTTTTTCCAAGAGAAGGGAAGTTGATAGAAATAAACAGACACTTTCACACCCAAGGAAAACCATTTCTGGTTTTAAAGCCTGGCCTAAACCCCAGCACTCCCCGTTCTTACACTTGCAGCATGTAATGCCACCTAACAGAGTGATAAGATAAATGGAAACACTTGTCTGTGAAACGATTTTTGACCGAGAAACCTGTTTGCAGATTACTCAGTGAAATAACAGAGCTGGATTCAGGACACAGAAGGATAATTGGCCAGCATACAAACAGAAATGCATTCTATGAGGTTTATGACTGTTAGATATTTTGTCCTGATATAAGAAATACTTCCCTTTCACAAAAATAACAGCCCCTTTTCCATCCACCACCATCTCAATACCTGAACCCATCCAAGAAAACAAGAAAGATTAAGATAGCAAACAAGAAGAGAAATCCTAATTAGTATACATCATCTTTATCATGAATGACTATTGGCCACCTAAACAGGCAATTAATCTTCTGGTGAATATATTATTTATTTTTAGAGCAGAACCTCATTAATATTAATTCTACATACGAGACATTGGGAATTTGTGATAAGTCAGATAATGGCTGAGCCATGATTCATGTTTGCCCTTTGGAAAGAAAAACCAAACAAAAGCAAACAAAAGCATGGTTTACTGAGAAAATTAAGTATAAACAAAACCATTGGAGCACTATTTAGCCACACGCTACCAGTAACACTCCTCAGTGTTCTGGAAGCAGATTAAAATATAATTGAGGAATGTTTAACAAAACAAATAAATAAAAATACAACACAACATACATAATATTAATTTGTAGTTTTTAAGTCACTCTGTAGATGGCAAGGATTCATCTCTATTTTAGTTTTACACCCTTTAGTTTTACACTTACTTCTTAAGGACAAGGACTGGAACTGTGGTTAATATGGCATAAGGAAATCTCAGGTGAGAAAACTCCCTCCACCTAAGCAGACTGGCACCTTCTCTGCTGCTGAATCTGAGTGCACCACTGAAAGCATGAGAGGTTAAGTGCTTTACTCTAGGGTACAGAGCCAACATGTGTCAGAATTAGGATGTGAAGCTATGTCTTCCTAGATTCAAGGTCAGCCTACTATCCACCATTACAAGTTGAATCTCTAATTCATGTAACTCTAATAATGAGAAAATGGCTTAAGAGAAATTGCTTTCAAGATTCAAATCGACTTCAGGTAACAAAATTGAATTCCTTTAAAATATGTATATATATAATTGACCTTTCATTAAGTTTGGTTGGGCTCATAACCCAATTAGTCTGAAATACTGAGTTTGTAACATGTTAGGGAGGAACTGTGTCACTTGGTGAAAAAAGCTGGTTTAAAACTTTTGCAAAGTAACTTTGGCGACATTAGAAACAGGGCTGGCATGATCATCTAGATCCTTCTAAATCTCCCAATGAATTTGAAATCCTTCTTGGTTCCACTTTGATGGTCTCACAGGAGAAACTGTCAAAGGAGTACTTTGTCTTATGTCATTTTTAGAAGCCTGAATAAAATGTACCTTTTTGCTTGTCACAGCAGCTGGAACTTTTGAGTCATTTGTACTGGGTGATGGCAGCCTCCTCTCAGTTAGTTTGGATGGCATTAGACTCATAGCGGGAGGTTGATTGCGCAGAACAGACGTCAGGCAGAGCTGGACAGTCTCCTTCAGAGCTTTCAACTGGGACTCCTGGGGAAAATAAAGAGGCATCAAGTTCTTAAAAATTGGATCCAATAAATGGAATAAAACTATACCTGTTCCCTCCATGGCTACCAACTAAACGCTTTATCAGAGTCATATATTTTTAATTAAAATTAAGCCAGCCAAACAAGCTCTTTTTATAACTGCTCCATGAAGTTTAGGTCATGCTCTAGAGCTCACGTAGCCTGGAAAATTCATAATGTGTTTCTCTTGCACTGACATATCAGAGTTATTAGGTTGAAACAAGGCTAACCATGGATAGCTAACTAAAAACATTTCATATTTTTAAAAAGGTAAAGAAAAAAATGAAAAAAATAAAAAGCTAAAGGAGTTTCTTTACCCTTTCAGGGAAGTATTAAAAAAAAAAGGAATATTCCTGTTTTACAGATGAGGGAAATGATGTCCCTAAACGTGAAAGGACTTGGTCAAGATAAGCAAATAACAGAGCCAGGACTTTGATCTGCATCATTTAATGCTAAAATAATCACTCTCTGTCATTCCATGTTAACATGGGAACTTTGTATTTGGTCCTGGCCTTTGGATAGCCATAAATATTATCACATCTGTACTATGCTTTAAATACCTATCGAATCTGTCTGGAGGAATGTTTGATTTTCTAGCAAACATAACATCCCAGTATCCCCCAAAATTTCCTGGATGAAAAGAAATGGGGAGATGGACCTCATGTCAAAGAGTTTTGCAGCAGTGATTATTTTAATGGAGAACATGTGTGGTTAACTGCATATGTTATTAAGAGACTAATCATTCTGTGAGACTGAGTAATATCCTGAGTATCTTCAATAACTTCTGCCTTCTATTGTAGGGCTGGAGGAAGGAGCAAAGAAATCCTCCCAAAGCCTATGTTAAAGAGGATTCTCAGGCCAGCCTTCTCTTTCATTTCCCATTGAAATAAGCTCACTGGACCAGACTTCATCCTGCCCTTTGGTCCCTCCTTTTCCGCTTTCTGTTGTGTATTATCTTTTCCCATTATACTGTAAGATCCTGAAGGTCAGAGGTTGTCTGTTTGGTAGTTCTATCCCAAGCACTTAGTACAATGCCTAACACGTAGTAGTCACAATAAATATTTACTGGTTGACTAAGAGAATTGAACAGTCTGCTGTAGATACCACACCCAGGTGTAGAGGTTTGAAGACATTCACTGTACTTTATGGCTCTCTGCTGCCCACCTCAGACAACACTGACCCAATTACTGGTATATCCTGGCCACAACTGGGGGTGTGATAAGAGCTGGCCAAGAAAAGCAATAGCTGCTTCTTAGCTGTCTCCTTAATGACAAGCCAAAGTCAATTCACATTTGCCATACCACATAATCCCCTGCATCTGAACCTGACCAGCATGGGTAGGCAGTAAGGAAGACAGCGTCCTTTGCGTTCCCCCTGTTACACTTACTGCAAGATTCCTGGGCCTGCATAGAGCACTGAGTAAGAAGGACATTAATCTTTCCTCCATGGGTACATAGGAGGAGAAAAGAGCAGAGCTGGAATTTATGCTGGAAAGTAACTATTCTCTTTCTTTTTATTTTCTTTCTCATAATTGTGTGGGAGTTGGGAGAGAGTAAAAGACAGAAGAAAGGGGGGAAATGCTGATTATTATAATATGTGTAAGCACATAAAATGTTTCCATTACATAGACAATATATTGCTTAAAGATAGCTTGTTCTCAATGTAAAGAGGGGCGAAGAAGGAAACCGGGCTCATTACATTCATATCTATGTGTTTGAGTCCATATACCAACACCATAATCAGAAGCTTTCCCTGAGGGCAAGATTTTACTAAGAGTATAAATACATGGTAATAAGAACTCCCATTTGCATGGTGTTTCAAGGCTTACAGAGTTCTTTTCTTACAACAATGCCATTAGGTAGACAGTACAAATATTAGCACTCCCATTGCTATTCAGATCAAAACTAGGGTTCACAGGGACTATGGGACTTCCCCATAACAACGTAGCTAAAAAGTATCAGAAGTGGGATGCCAACTCATTACAGGCATACTTCATTTCATTATTCTTCACAGATACTGTGTTTTCTTACAAATTGAAGGTGTGGGGCAACCCTAGCTGAAGCAAATCTGGTGACAACTTTTTCCAACAGCATCTGCTCACATCATGTCTCTGTGTCACATTTTGGTAACTCTCATAATATTTCAAACTTTTACATCATTACAATTATTATTATATCTGTTATGGAGATCTATGATCAGTGATTTTTGATGTTACTAGTATAATTGTTTTGGGGAGCCACGGACCACACCCATACAACCTGGTGAACTTAAATGATACATTTAAGTGTTCTGAATGCTTTAGCAATTGGCCTTCCCCATCTCAGTCCCTCTCCTCAAGCCTCCTCATCCCTTGAGACACAATAATATTGAAGAATATTACATAGACTTAGTTGATAAAGCAGCAGAAGGGTTAGAGAGGATTGACTTCAATTGTGAAAGAAGTTCTACTGTGTAGAAAATGCTATCAAAAATCATTGCATGCTACAGAGAAATCTTTCATGAAAGGAAAAGTCAATTGACATGGCAAACTTCATTTTTTTTTAGAAATTGCCACAGCCACCCCAACCTTCAGCAATCACTACCCTGATCAGACAACATTGAGGCAAGAACCTCCTCCATCAAAAAGATTATACCTTGCTGAAGGTTCCAACGGTGGTTAGAACTTTTTTAGTAAGAAAGTACATTTTAATTAAGGTATGTGCATTTTTTAGACATAATATCATTGCACACTTAATAGACTACAGTATAGTATAAACATCAGTTTTATATGTACTAGGAAACCAAAAAATGTGTGTGACTTGCTTTATTGCAATGTTGTCTTTATTGCAGTGATCTGGAACAGAACTAGGTATGCCCATAATGTTGGTAGTTCTACATTGTGTGAGAAACAATCAATCAATACACATTTGTAAATCATCTACTATTCCAGGGACTGTGCTAGAGAGGAAGAATGTAAAATCAAAAGTCAAAAGTTCTTATCCTTAAGAAGCTTACATTTGATTGAGTGAGAGAGCAAATACACGTATATAAAATAGATATAGACCCACATGGTATATGTGTATATACACATATGTATGTATATATGTGTATGTATAATATACACATATACGTATATATGTATCTATATCCACCCCTATATAGTATAAATATATATGTATATATTTATATACATACTGTTGGTTTTTATCCTTTGTTTTAGAAGTGGACCAATGACATTAAGAGTAATATCTTGACTTGCACATGAATTCAATTTAAGTGAGGCAGAGAAGTTGTCAGCCTCACTCTCTCTTCTAAGTCTCATGGCAGGACAAAAATCAAGAAAACTAGCAATGGCATAAGATGCAGTGCTTGGCATTGGCATCTTCAATGCCCACCCAAGCTCTACGCACTCTGCAGAGCCTGCTTCAGCTGCCTTCATGGCTTTTGGAACAAATTGCTCTCATCTGCCCATTCAGCCAAGGGAAGCCTTTACATGTTTGAACTAGACATTCCCCTATCTCCCCCCACAGGTTGGAGGCCTGTTGCTTACCTTTGACCTGGTTTAGCCTGTCTGCTGATAAGGCTTCCCTGGTTGTGGCCACTGGGTAGAAAAGCAACCTTGAAAAGGTCTTGGCAAGCCCTCACACTAGAGGTACTACTCCTCTTTGAACACCCCCCACAGACCCTATATACACACTAGATAATGATATCCATGGTACATATACATATGTGTGTGTGTATACACACACATATAGATAAAATCATTCTAGACATACTTCTATTTATCAGTTATGCAGATAGAGTCTTCCTTCATAGGTCCTTTGTAGTTAATCTGGGTATTTATAATAGTCAAAATGATTTAGTTGCTCAAAGTCGTTCCTAAAACAATAATGCTGTGGCTGTATACAACATTCTCTTGGTTCTGCTCACTCATCTCTTCATTATTTTGTGCAAGTCTATCCAAGTTTTTCTAAGATCATCAAGCTCATCATTTCTTACACTACAGAGGTATTCCATCACAGTCATAAACCTCAACTTGTTTATCCATTTCCCCCATTGATGGGCATCCCAGAAAGGTCCAGTTCTTTGCCACTACAAAGAGAATTGCTATAAATATTTTAAAACATATCAGTTCTTTTCCTTTTTCTCTAATCATCTCTGGGAATAGACCTAGCAATGGTATTGCTGGGTTAAAGGGTATAGGCAGTTTAATAACTCTGGGCACAATTCCAGATTGCTCTCCAAAATGGTTGGATCAGTTCACAGTTCCACCAACAATGAATTGGTGTCCAAATTTTTCCATATCCCCTCCAACATTTGTTACTTTCCCTTTAGTCACTTTAGCCAACCTGATAGGAGTAAAATGATATCTCAAGGCTGATTTAATTTGGTTTCCCTAATCAATAATTATTTATGTTATATTTCTCTAATTAACAACGATGGTCCTTTGATACCATTTCCAGAATTATTTCCAATGTGTGGCGACCCTTAGTGAGCACAACATAAAGGGGATAAGTCCAGTTTTGTGACTTGTTCCACCCTTTATTAAAACTTATTTTTCACCCTAGATATGAATCTCCTAGGTTTCATTATTCATCGTTGCTCTCCCTTCCCAAACAATGCACTTTGATGACAAAACATTCTCTCCCTTGGCTTCAGCAAGCTGGCAGGAAATTTCTGCAATGCAATCTTTTCTTCCCCCGTCATTTAAAAATCAAATCATAGCTCATACTTCATCTAGGGACCATATGCTACAAGACCTTCCATTTCTGACTGAAGTGACACTAAGACATAGACTGTTACAGCTGATCCACTTTGCAGCCTGGCTATATGTAACTAACAGAATATTACATAACTTACAGTATTATCACATGAAGTATAATGTACCTATAATAAACGTGATAAGATTAACCTTATGGGCAATAACCAGATATTTTCTAGTTTCTTAATTTCTCAACTGTATCAACAGATCCTCGGAGGTAATGA